AGTAATAATGTCTCAATTTTCGTTGTTTCAGTAAAAAAAGGCATCTGCAGGAAATAAAGCTCCAATATAAGAATTCAGTAAATACCTTTTCGAAACTACTTTAGATACCGCAATTAAAATATCTCAATATATTAACATTTTATTACACAAATATCATATGAAATATCTATTCTTTTTTCTTTATGGATGCCACTATTCAAAGAGTAACAGCCCGATTATATGTACCCAAGCAAAATATCACTCTTTTAGCCATTGAAATTTAGAAAATATTATATAGTTTGAAATATCATCCAGTTGGATTTTGATATTCGTGGTAAGAATATAAAGATACAAATGGTTTAGCTAAAAATTAATATTATTCTTAAGTTAAAAAAGAAATTAAGCATTTAGTTTAGATGTATACATACTGTTTGGTTTAGGGTGATAAAAGACTGGTAGTTGAAGTTTCACAGAAAAATATGCGTATAGCTGACATTTCCCTTGAATTTCACATAGCCTTGCTTGCCCAAAAATTCATCTTATCTAAAGTAGACTGCAGTTTCGACCTCGCCTAGGTTTTATCAACATCCCCAACTGGAGTGCAACATGTAATCTAGACACGTTATCCACTACGCCACATTGCCACGAGAACCCTTTGGCACAGGGCAGATGTAAATTTCAAGGAAGGCCAGGCCCTTTTTTAGCTTTTTTGGGCTCAATTTACACAGATGGTAGATAATATAGCATTAACTATTTACAATAACATCATTATACAAGTAATAATATCTCACTTTCCTTGTTTAAGTAAAAAAGATATCTGAAAGAAATGAAGCTCCAATATAAGAATTCACTAAATAACTATAGAAACTACTTCAGATGCCGAAATTAAAATATATCAATATAGTAACTATTTATTACAACCAAAGGAGACTGCGACCACACGAAAGGCCACACCATCTTGGCCTTCATACCTTCGATTAAAATCTCATATTGTTTGAAATATCATCCAGTTGTAGTTTGATATTCGTGGTCAGAACATAAAGATAAAAATAGTTTAGCTCCAAATTAATATTATACTCAAGTTTAAAAAGAAATTAAGCATTTAGTTTAGATGTATTTACACTATTTTATTTATAGTGATGAAAGACTGGTAGTTAAAGTTTCACAGATTGATATGAGTAGAGCTGACGTTTCCTCTGAATTTCAAGTATACTTGCTATCCAAAAAGTTGTTATCATCCAAAGTAGACAGCAGTTTAGACCTCGTCTAGGTCTAATCAACATCCCCAGCAGGAATCGTAAGGAAACAGTGCAGTCTGTAATCTCGACACGTTATCCACTAAGACACATTGCAACGAGTATCCTTGGGTCACAGGCTAGATGTAAACTTCAAGAAAGGCCAGGCTCCTTTTTAACATCTTAAGGGATCAATTTACACAGATGCTAAATAATATAGCATTAACTGTTTACAATAAAATCATAATACAAGTAATAATGTCTCAACTTTCGTTGTTTTAGTAAAAAAGACATTTGCAAGAAATAAAGCTCCAATATAAGAATTCATTAAATAACTTATTGAAACTACTTCAGATGCCGCAATTAAAAAATCTCAATATAGTAAATTTTAATTACACAACAATCATATAAAAAAATCTATTCTTTTTCTGCATGGCGGCCACTATTCAAGAGTAACAGCCCGATTATATGTACCCAAAAAAAATATCACTGCTTTAGCCATAGAGATTAAGAAGAATCTCATATAGTTTGAAATATCATCCAATAAATTAAGTTTTGGAGATTACCTCATTTTGGCAAAGATTATATCTCATAAATAGAGAATAGTACATATAAAATTAACTAAATAAAAATCATATATAAGTATTTTTTAAAGTCTATACAACATAGCAAACCTCTTATAAGGGATTCAAATTAAAAACGTAAAAATCATTAAATAACATTGGCAAGGAAAAAGTTGAATGAAATGGTACGAAAAGATTGGTAAGCATAAATACTTCATGTGGTTAAAATGAATTTTATTTATTTAAATAGAATTAATACGCACATGATCTAGAAAAGGAGATATTCCAATAAGTGAATCCATAAAACACAAAAGGATTACTAAGTTCTTCAAGCTAAAAAAGGGTTTATCAAACAATAATAACCTTTATAGTTAAATCTTCTAGCGTGATTTCTTCCGAAATTTCATCACTAAATATATTAGGATTTTTAGAGTCTTGAAAAATTTCTGCTGTGTAATAGCCTCCATCTAACTGAAAAAAAGAAGGATTAAATCATATCAAATAAACCTTCATGTAATCTGAGTTATTAGCGTAAATACGGGCAGATTTATAATAATCAAAGCCAAATATAATTCTTGAATAGATAAGTAAGAATAGTATGATTATCTGAATCATTTCGATAAAGTGAGAACACATAGGAAATACAAAAACGTCGTGTGGAAAAAAGATGTGATAATATATAATAATAACTTTAACTTAACTATAATAAATATTTAATATATATTAAAAACTATATTAAACCATTTGTCTTACAAATAATTTTTACAAACAAAGATGTTTTATAATAAATATATTGTATTTATTTTTAAAATATAATATTTTAGAAATTTTTTCTTTGTGTTTTTTGTTTACAATAACATATTTTGCTGGAGCGCGCTTAGTTCGCTATTTTGGGGCCTAGTGTTTTAATTTGCGATTAGCTGTAATTCGTGAGGATTTTATTATTTTTATTTGTTTAAATTCTTTTTTTCAATTATTTAATTTATTTTATTGGTTTTTTTTACCCAATTTGTCTTTTTCTGTTTGTGTCAACATCATTTTGTTTCGAATAGACATGCGCCCGCCCCAGGAATGCATAGGAAGACCTTGAGTTCCTCAAAGCTTGCCAGGACTACTTGTGGGGTTTTAACTTCTAGCGCGTCGGACGAATTGCATAAGCATTTAACTTGTCAAGGTACAATTTATGATTCACCCTTATCACAACCAGCCACTTACAGCCGCCTTACACGAATTCCTAGGGTAAACTTGAACAAAAATGCCAGTCCTTATAGGAGGCGCAATTTGAATTCTATTTCGTATGATGCACCATTTTCACAATTAAGAACAGGCAGACCCGTTAAGAATGAGTGTTCACGACTCAGGAGGTCGAAACGTATTGCTACGATCAAATTGCCCATTGATAATATGCCTACTGGCTATACTATGCGAATCAAGCATCCGAATACTGCCAAAGTTAGCTATTGTGGAGCCTCTAAAAATTCTACAAAACCGATCAAAGGTCAGTTTTATTTTTTATTCATTTGTATTCTTAACTTGTTTTTTTCTCTATTGACACGTTACCTAAATTACATCACCTGGTTGACCTTAAACCAAATATTGTCCACGTTCAGTGTGAGATGCAAACACCCTCAGATTTTGTATGACTATTTGCTCAAATTCTATCTTAAAAAATAATCCATTTTTCGATTTAACTACTCATTGGGTCTTAAATATCCACTTTTTTCCATATCAAAGGCTTCTGTTGCTTTTTAATTAGCTACATCGAAATATGAATTTTGTGGTTATGATACTATTCAGTTTATGTAGTTCAAAAGTCCTGAACATTGGTATTTTTCATTCATTAGTAGCTCAACGACTCACAATAAATTAATTTGGTAATTGCTTTTTTGAATCATTTGTCTATTTATTTTCTATTGGAGCATAAGTAAGTAGTTATAACATTCTTCTTTTTGTATTTCTCTGCTATAAAGTTATTTTGGCTTCACAAGTCATCTAATTTTAAGCCTTACCTTTTAGATTGTTTTTTTAATACTTGAAGTCCACATTTAATGTGACCAATTGGCTTCCATGGCTTCTATGTATCTAGATTTATCTTCATCATATGCACTGTTATTTGCTTGTTCTCATAATCGCTATTTACATTAAACTAGTGCCTTTTGCCTTTGATTCATTTTTTACATATCTTAGTGAAACCGAATGTTTCCAAGGAAATTCGAAAACCTCTCAATCATCTAACAGCTGTCAGTCAGGCAAGTAAAAACCTGTTTTCGCTCAGAATCAGTTAATTCTGATATTTACTCTTATTTTATCACTCTTTAGACTTGTTGCCAAATCGACACTTCCAACGATCATCACCCAGCCCAGAACAGAGATGACTTTATTGGGAAAGCGACTCGCACAAATCAACCTATCAAAGCCGTTAAGGGAAAGATTTTAAAATCAACGCTTGCTAAAGATACAGTTTCAAATCATCTGTTACACAGATTACCTGAAGAAGAGTTGCCTCTTGCTCGTGCTGCTAATCGTTTCATGACCCAATTTTCTGCATGGTCCTCTCATGTCAAATCATGGGTACCCGTTGAGTCTGCTTGTGAAAATCCTTCCTCCAATATAGACTCAAATGAATGTGAATCAACCAGTCGAGAAGCCAACAATACTACACGGCATACTACCTGTGGGGAAAATATCGCTATTCTCCATACAGAGAGTGAGTTGGCAGATAAATCATCCTCGCTTCAAGTATCTCTGGCTTCTAGACTACCGAATCCACAGAATAGTCTGATCGATACCGGCAGCTGCGACCTTTTGACAATGTCTCACGTCTATCCTATTGTTCCTGATCCTATAATGGCTTTAGCACCCCCCTATGTAGGTGACCCTAACTTGAGGGTGCACCATCATCACCACGACAGCCACACTCATCGTTATCAGGATTATCCTTCACACTCGGGTTCTCACGACCAAGTAAAATCAAAACGGCCTGGCAATCCAAATGATATGTCAATTCAAGCCTCATCTACGTCACATCTAAATCTAATCTCAGTCCAAAGCTCTTCGACGGATGCCGTTGTTCCTCTTGATTCCATTTCATTATCTAAGGCCGAAGAGATTCCGACGTCAAAAGGCCAACTTGTCCTAGAAAGCAGCGAATTTCTTGAGTCAGGCGAAGAGCTTGACGACGAACCTATTGATGAGGAGGATGAAGACATTGGTGA